TTGTAACCTAATAAAGAAAATTATCAGTATTAGTAACGGTTTTTACATTGGTACTGATTTTTCCATTAATTAGTAAGATACCTTATTTGCAACCGTATAGCTCTATTTGTAGGGCTGGAAATGTTTTGTGCCAAGTCTTTAGCAGAACTCTGATAAAACTTGAGGACATGCTTCACTACGCTAACTCCGTCAGTATTACCCTTGAGAACCTCGCCTGAATTGTAATCCTCGAAGTTTTTCCCGTCTTGACTGTACTGTAAAGAGTAGCCAGTTGTCCAGTATTGTGTCGTACCTCGAGTTGCTATACCCGTTACCCTTCTGTCAGGTTTGCCGAGGTCAACCTGAAGCCACTCTCCTTGCCGCGCCTTCAACGGAATCCAACCCGATGTTGCCATAAGGTTCAATCTGGCGCTCCATGGTTTATATCGAAAAAAAGATTGTGATGAGGAGGCAGTGATGCGATCATCTTGGATGGCTTTGCTTTTCATGCCAAGAGGTTCATCGCATTTTTGTGTTGCTGTTGGTGGCGCAGTTGGTGGCGCAGTTGTTGCTGCTGTTATCGTAGGGTTATCTGTAACTGTACGGGAGAAATATTTATGCATTATCCTTGATTTCCTATTAGCACCCATCGGAAGTGTTAACATTCCACATGACTTTTTTATTCTTTTCTTTAATTGTTATCTTACGCAATGTATTTAGAGATTAGTAAGTTACCTATGAACACCGGTGTCGAAGCTCTTTTAAAAGCATTTTATCACTCCGTGAGTATTGAACCGACAGTTTTTCTTTGAGTTTTTAATCGAGGATTTGCGTAACTACTGCGAAAGGGAACGATAATATTATTTTCTTAAGAGACTAAAAACGATATCAGAAAGGAAAGCAATTCAACTCATAGAGTTTAATTAAAAAGGAGCATTGTAAACCTTGATATATAAAAAATATAACTAATAATGAAGTATTTTTCCCATTGTTCTTGTTTTTGTACTTTTTAAAATTCTAAAAAAAAACCTTTCTCTCGGAGATATTACAAAGCGAATGACTTGCCGAGTGTCTCGCATGCGCATATGTTTCACGCGCGTTGGTTGTTTAGTCAATTATACAAGAAATGACTGTACTCACATCCACACTTGAAGCAAGTAAGTTGACAGAATTTGCCAAGATCTCCAGCGCACTGGTTTTGAGCTTTGAGAAATCGGCAGCAATCGGTGGAGATGGTATCATTGCAACCTGTGAAATAATTACAACGAAGAAATACACGTCGTTAAAGTGCGGGTACGATGAGATCCGAGGATAGCCGGTTTTTTTAGTTTTTGCTAGTTTATACTATTAATAATACCATAAATAAGGTATTTTACATTTTAGATGAAGAGAACATGTTGAAATTTGCCATTATTGTCGTCRATTTTCGATCCGMCWTTAAYSGGCAGCCAWHTTGGAAGATGAAGGCCGTTAGGGGCTGGTATCGAATTTTGACATCATATGCTTAACACGAGTTAATTTGTCAACATGAACTACTGTGTGAATCGAATGTTGTTTTCGAAATATTGCAATGTTTTTGGCAGAAACTGTTATATTACGTTATGAGCTGTATTGAACATTTATCACTGACTCCATACGTATATTCTATCCGATGTTCCAGCTCAGGTTTTTGTTTCTGAATGAGACGTGGCTGTCTAACAAGTTTTGTTGTCAAAAGCACAACAAGCAAACAAGGCGGGTGAAGGTTTGATTGCTAAATAATTATTTTTGAGATATTAAGATATTTTGCAATTGAATTTCGTTATCTTGGTCGTGCTACTGAATAGTTGGAAGAGGGAACTAATCGTCTAAAAGGATATAATCTTCAATTAGAGTTCAGCAATTTTATCGACATCAACTTGTATCGCTAACTAGTATCCGACGTAATGTAGCGGCCGGTTTACAATAAATAACACGTTCGCACATTTGCTGATTGCTGTCATGTTGTCACTATTTTACAATTCTTCTCTTTACTGATAGGCATATTTTTTACATTGTAGTGCATCTGCTCTGAAACATTTAAAATAATACCATAATCATCTCGGATTCCATTGTCTTCCGAGGGGTTTACAAACCCGAATTTCCCTCATGAATAACATGAGGGAAATTTAGAAGACAAAGGATTCTTTTATTGTCTTTTACTAAATTTCCCTCTATTTAATTTATGCAAGGGAAATTTAGTAAAACACAATACTAAATCTCCCTTGCATAAATTAAATAGAGGGAAATTTAGTAAAAGACAAAAGAATCCTTTGTCTTCTAAATTTCCCTTATGTTATTCATGAGGAAAATTGGAGTTCCTTTGCCTTCTATACTTCCCTAATGCCGTGCACAATGAAAATATAGTAGACTAGATACCCCTCAAAAGAATTTCTAGTGAAAACAGGTCTCCTACACCATATGGCACTAGCATGTCTTGCATGTGGGACATTGTTTACCTAACTGCGCATGCCTGTGCACTTAGTTAAAAGAAACGAAAATGTCTATGACAGATTTATACGCAGTCACATAAAAAATATAATATAAAACCACTCGTTTTAAATCGTTTGCTATAGCACCACATTGCACTTACACTTTTGCCAACTCGAAATGAAGCATCGAAAGAAATAGCGTTTAATACAGCAAAACTGATATAATCAATCTTAATTTATTGAACTTAGCTGTTTGTTCTAAACGAAAACCGCTCAGACATGTTGTTTGAGCATTGTATACGAATTTTAATTCTGCGATATAAATATTATCTTTTGTACCCTAAGGGACTACAAAACAAGTGTATGAAATAGTACTAACGAACAAATGTTGAATNATGCTGACTATAACTAATTTGGTCCGGAGGAACAGGGGTCCCAAAAGAAAAGAGTATTCTCAAATTGGATTGGCTGATTTCTAACAAAAGGGGGGACATTGCTCAACAATTGCGAAACGAGGCGGGGGAGGGTACAATCGAAAGCAACCAAAAGGACGTCAGCCACTCTCGCAGGGAAAACTAAAACACTACATACGTAAAAAGGTCGTTATACTATTTTTACGAAGCAGTTTTATGCTAATTATTTTGTTTTCTCTTGCTCAACTAGAGCTTCATTCAATTTTACATAATGCAATAATCAGTGCTTCACTGTGTTATTGTTGAAAATACCAAGTAAAATACTACATTACAACTGTACTAGAATTTCAAAACTAGAATGATGTCCTATTAATAATGCTTACTACATACGTAACTAAAAGGTCGTTATACTATTTTTAAGCAGTTTTATGCTGTTCTTGTGCTTTATTAAAGGCTTTCTAACTAAACTAGTTCTTAACAATTAGTAACTATTTTGTAAATAAAAAGATGATTGCACTCGTTAACAATCAACTCTTAAGTTCAATACTCAGAAGACATCAAATACACAAGAATCAAATCAAGTCAGTTATTTCTTATTTCTTTTGTATTGTGATATAAATTAAAAACAAATAAAATAACTTGATTCTAGTCTATTTAATGTTTCCTGGGTATTGAAATATAAGTTGATTCGCATGAGTACTATCATCATGAAATTTCAAAAATAAATAACAATTCTGTAACCGTACCTCAATAGTCTTGATGTGATCACAGTCAGGCGATACTAWAGTGAAACTGATGCACTTTAGAACTGTTTGCCTGTGTGGTAAACACAGATATCTTCAGTCCGTGTGGTAGAATTGCAGAGCAATGTCCGACATGCCATGGAGACACTTGATAGAAATAGACCACTTTCATAAGTACCGATCATAGATTTTGTACAATTTATAATATATGGAAACATTCAACACTGTTTTATGGAAGAACTATTAGAAAAAAAGTATTCATGGAAAGTTTTAAAGCCATAAAGTAAATACTAACAAAGTTATCGAGGAATTAAAATAAATGGATTTGTATGGAATTCTTTGCTGGTGTCTGTGTAGCCTCGTTTTTGTGTTCGTACCCCTTGTAACTCACCTTAATTCAAGAAGATTAAATATTTTTCTGTGAAACATTCAGAGTTTTTGCTTGGCTTTGGTATCTATTATTGGAGTGTTTTATTCATCGTCAACATAATGAAAAGAGAGATAATATGCTAATTAGTGGCGTGAGAGTCGTTTATAAATACGCTAAAAAGAGTATTAAAAAGTAACATTGATAAATAAAAACGTAGACAGTCTAGGTTCAAATCCAGACGGTCAGCTCGGCAATCAGTTCAGTTTGTTTGTATTTGCTATTTATTTATAAGAATAATTAGTCGATGAGCATGGTTCTTATCATTTTGAACATTTATTTTGGCGGACTACTTTTAATTGCTGCATTAATTTAAACATTGTGATGAATGTATGTGCATACCAATCAATATCAACATGACAGATAGAAAATATTGATAGACTTGACGCTCGGATATATGAATGCGTTTCCAAAATCGGATTCATGTTAAAAATGTTCACCTAGCTGTAACGGGCAGGCTATCGACTGAGTTAGAGTACATTTTTGTGGAGTGTTTCTTCTTTTTTTATGTTAAAAAGGCAGTATCATTCAACATCGCTATGTGTGTTCCTAAGAGGCTTTAGATAAATATGACACGGCCATAGCTACCGCGGTGATTTTAGCGAGGCTGTTTGCCTGTGTGGCAAACACAGACATCTTCAGTCCACGTGGTAGCATTGCAGAGCATTGTACGACATGCCATGGAGATACTTGATAGAAATAGACCACATTCATAAGTACCGATCATCGATTTTATTATTATGGAAACATTCAACACTGTTTTATGGAAGAACTATTAGAAAAAAGTATTCATGGAAAGTTTTAAAGGCATAAAGTAAATACTAACAAAGTTATCGAGGAATTAAAATAAATGGATTTGTATGGAATTCTTTGCTGGTGTCTGTTGTATTATGTCAATTAGCCATGCTAATGTATGTATGAGAGAGACTGGAAGCTAATATAGTTAGTTAACCACGAGGAATAAACATGGCGGACACAAGTTTGTATTGTCATACTTCACTCGTCAATAACTCAACATGGTGGCAGCGGTGGGATTCGAACCCACGCCTCTTACGAGACTGGATGCCAATTCGGGATTTTGGCAAACCCCTCTATCTGAAGAATCTCGACACCTGACAACTTTCATCACACCCTGGGGTAGTTTCATGTTCAACGTCTTGCCATACGGAATAAGCTCTGGCTCTGAGAAATTCCAAAAGAACATGAATATGATCCTCGAGGGATTGGACGGTGTAGAATGCAGTATTGATGATGTCCCTATTCATGGTAAAACACAAGGCGAACACGACACTCGACTTCAAACKGTCCTGGAAAGAGTAAGAGATGCCGGAATGACCCTAAACCTGAGCAAGTGTGAATTCAGCAAACCTGAAGTCAAGTTCCTTGGACACGTGATAAGTGCTAGAGGTATAGAGGCAGATCCAGAAAAGGTGAAAGCAATTGCCGACCTTCCAAGCCCTAACAATGTNTCTAAACGAAAACCGCTCAGACATGTTGTTTGAGCATTGTATACGAATTTTAATTCTGCGATATAAATATTATCTTTTGTACCCTAAGGGACTACAAAACAAGTGTATGAAATAGTACTAACGAACAAATGTTGAATCAATTACACAATGAAGACAAACTAATGTGTTTGAAAACTATTGTTTGATTACATCATTATCAAGCCTAGGTTTACAATACGCTAAGGAGCTAGTTATGCGTTTTGGCGGCGTTGTTTACGCTTCCTTGACTAGAAAACTGAACATGATATCAAAGATGTTTCCTTACTTCCTCGCCGATAATAGTATTACAAAGTAATACCATGTCACTCGTGAAATTAGTGATTAAATTTCCCCGATTTCCCCGATTTCCCCCCATTTCATTTCCCCTAAGTTGTGTATGTCTGAAGGACAACTTCGTTAATGGGTTAAGCATATGACGTAATATGCTTCACGTTTGGGTAAAACCGCCAACCGATGTCACTTCGGCTCAGATTAATGGCGGACAGGAAAAAACCGACTTTCAAAGCTCGATTTCTCCTGCTTTTCAATGATGTATCGATAAAAAAAATCTCAGAAATACTTATTTGGATCTTCATAAAGAGGTATATGTACAAAAACAGCGCAAATTCGGTGTTCGGTTTACATCGTACCCGCACTTTAAGCTTATTCAATCACTTATGTTTTCATACGAAGAAAAGACCATTTCTGCCATTTTGAACCGGCATGCGTATCCAGCGGCAATAAAATTATGATGTTAATTATGATCATGTTTTGTGTTAATTTGATCAAATTAAACTCAAATTGTACGAATAAAAAAATTGTGCATATAAAGAAGCATCGACAAAACTAAAAAAAATCACCATTCCAAAAGGAATCATGTTCATAAATGTGGTATTTTAGATTCTGAGAAGAATAACTTAAAATCATTGCTCTTTTAGCCAACTTACCAACTGTCCCTAGGCAAAGCGGCTCCTCGAGTATGTTAAGGCCTGGTTCACAGAGGCTAGGCTGAAAACAGTGTTTTTGTGTATAACTCGATATGRTTCTCATCWACTGTATTCATGTTTTGACACAATTTTTCATTTAACGTTTGTGACAATTTAGAGCGTTCAATATTGACATCAAGTGGTCACGTGACCTTAAGGCTAGAAATTTAATATTTTTAAAATGCGGTCGTGAGTTTAATACAAAATGAAATCATTTTGGTGCTAAATAGTTAAGGGTTGCCATTAAAAAAAGATGTCGCTTTCAAAGTTTGTCTCAAGATTTTAAATATTTCGAAAATCAAGAAAACGTAATTTCGAGGAATGGTCACGTGACCCATTTTCCTAAATATCTCCTTAACKAAAATWGTTAGACAAGATTTAACAACGATGTTSTCTTAATATYTAAAAAAGAAAATRGTTTCATTTGTTTRTTTTAGTATCTACTCTATACTGGCGACCGCATTTTAAATTAAACTTCAAAACTTGTCCATCACGTGGTTGATCACGTGATCAGTTTAAGGACAGGGWTTCGTCTTAAGGAAGTTCAAAATGCTGAWTTCTAATTRTGTCTTGAATTTGGTGTTGTTAAGCTTATGTGTCGAGAGTTTATGAATTTTCAAAGTTTGCACCAAATTCTGGCCTGAACCNGAGATGGTATCATTGCAACCTGTGAAATAATTGCAGCGAAGAAATAGACATCGTTAAGCTTATTCAATCATTTATTTTTTCATACGAAGAAAAGACCATTTAAACCGGCATGCGTATCCAGCAGCAATGATAATCATGTTAATGATGATCATGTTTTGTGTTAATTTGATCAAATTTAACTCAAAAAAATATACGAATAAAAACAATATAAAAAACATTGTGCAGATAGAATCATTATTGACAAAACGGAGAAAAAATAATTATCGTTCTAAAAGGAATCATGGCCATTAATGTGGTATTTTAGATTCGGAGAGGAATAACTTAAAATCATTGCTCTTTTAGCCAACTTACCAACTGTCCCGAGGCAAAGCGGTTCCAACTTTTCGTACATATCCAAATACCCGTGTTCCTCCAAGTACTTGCAGCTCTTTTGACTCAAAATGTCTTTAACTTGTAGGTATTATATTTTGAAAACAAGAAGGAAARATATTKATAAGTGTCTCATTTACTGTTTTAAATCCGACAGTGAGAACTGGGCGGGTTTTCTCTTCTTTTGATAGATGTATTTTTACTATTTATCGTATTTTTGTCTTTGCTTTTTTAAATTGAACGACGCAAGAAGAAAACCTCTGGCGGGACCGTTAAGAATCTCACTTTCATGTCACCCGTTCTAATGTCAGCTGTCAAATATGTCATTTTTTTGTCAGCCAATCAGAAGAAAGGATAAATTATGCCCAACACAGGGGTGAATTTTCTAGCCAATCATATTACTGCTTTAGAGATTAAAAATTTCCACCACTCACAAACGCCGATCCGAAGCGGGTGGCATGAAAGTGAGATTCTCAACGGTCTCGACCAGATGTTTTCTTCTTGCGTCGTTGAATTTTAAATGCAAAGACAAAAATACGATAAATACTAAAAAAAATCTATCAAAGAAGTCCGAGAAAAACCTCTGGAACCAGGGTATAATATCAGTACTCGGCCTAAAAACTAGATGATCAAGAAATGGGGATGGACTACTGTTGAATGAATAGTCGCACTTTATTGACGTATCCATTTAGCTATGAACATTCTGTGACAAAACATTTACAGCGATATTCGTTGTATCGCGACCCGCCGTTTGAAAAGTTCGTTTTGATTTGGTCTTTTGTGGACCGTCAATCAACTAGTGGGCGGAGTTATGTAATGGTTAGCCGCTGACCGGTGGGCTTTTGTGAAATGTTTTCGCTCGTTGACGAGAAAAATATAAGCTTAAGCTTAAGCGTAATTCATGAAATCATGACGAAAAGTTATCCGAAGGAACTACGCTGGAGGGTTGTTTTTATGCTTCGAGAAGGTAGAACAACGTCCGAAATTGCACAGACGCTACATGTTGGTAAAACGTTTGTCAAAAAGATCAAAGGCTTATTCGATACAACTAATTGTGTTGATGACCGACCAAGGTCAGGCAAGTTGAGAAGCTTGAGAGGTGAGTACATGTAAGCTCATATTCTTTCGGATATTGTAAACTAACGAATATATGAAATAAAAATAACTTAGAATCTAACTCCTTTACAGCACAAGAAATACGGCTATTGAAAAATATTATCGAACAGTAGGTCTACGAAGACGAATTTCAAGAATGGCTTCAATATTTGACCGGGAATACGTTCTCTATTGCTGCTATTCATAGGTGCATAAAAAAAATGGGCTGGACGAGAAAAAAGGTATGGTCAGCCGACAAGGACCGACAAAACTTGTATATTTGGTTTTTACTCAGTAACAATTTCACTGTCAGTGTCAGAAATCTATAACTTAGGTCTGTTGACAATATTCCATGTATGTTTGACATGTAAGCTTACATAAGTCTTTTTATATGAAGTTATAAACCTTACATAAGYTATATACCAGCTCTCGCATTATACTGCTGATAAAACTTTTCACTAATACCGGTATAGCTTATTTCCGTGGCAATAAAATCAAGCTATAATGTATATAATTTTGCATTTTATATATAAGATTASRAAAAGTGTGAAGCAAATAGCTCCAAGTTAGTGCAATAATTGTATAATATACTGTCTTTCTGTCTACAGCTTAGTCTTATTGCATACCAGAGAAATGAAAGATTACGTGCTGAGTTCCGTAGGAGAATATCACAGTTTGAACCACACCAATTACTTTTTATAGATGAATCATCAAAAGATGAAAGGACATTCCAGGTTGAAACAAAATAAGCAATACAAACAGGTTGTGCATTTGCTTAATTAGTAGCTAATTAGTGTCTATACTCAACTTCCAGAGGCGCTATGCTCGTGGTCTGAAAGGTAGAAGAATTTCTGTGAAAGGAAATTTCACCAGAGGAACAAGATATAGTGTTATTAGTGCCCTCAGTATCCAAGGTGTTGTAGGATCCCATACTATTTTGGGGGCTTTCAATCAGGAGCAATTTGAATTTGCAGTTACAAACTTTATATTGCCATTTGTTGGATCATGTGCTAGGAGGGARTCCTGTTCTGTTGTTATATTGGATAATTGTACTATCCACAACTCTAATGAAGTATTTCAAGCCATTAGAAGAAGAGGTGGTATTGTAATGTTTTTGCCGTAAGTGTCTCCAGTTAGCCTAGTGAGAATGAGAAAACTATTTTGTTTGTGAAAGTTGATAATCAACAAAAGAAAACACTTGTGTTAGTGTTTACTATTACTATCTGCAAAGTGTTTTTTTTTTGCCTGAAAGAAAATTTAAAAATTTTCTTTCAGGCCTTTTTTAACAAATTTATTTACAAATTTACTCTAAACTACAATTTTACTAACAATTCATAAATCTAAATTCTTTCAGACCTTATTCCCYTGATATGAATCCAATAGAAGAAGCATTTGGTTCTTCAAAGGTTTGGCTACAAAGACACCCAGATGTATGTACTAAATATCCAAAGTGGTGCTTTGAAATTTCATTGGAGAAGGTACACTATTTATAATTATTACACTAATATTAACACAGATGCCATTTTTAGTCCATATATAGTGTGTTTGCTATACTTATTGGGAGTTATATATGTTTAAGAACTTAATACTGCTGCATAGTATTAGTTGCTTCAAGCTAGGATATAAAGTATGAATGCACTAATAAATGTAAGAATAAGAAAGAGAAATGTCTTTAACAAATTGAAAAGTTTTCCATTGTCAGTACTTTTATTACTCACAGCTATGGCGTCAAAAAATGTTCAAAACTCGAGTGGAATCACAAGTGTAGCGCTGACGTGTTATTGCCAGTACTCTTATAAYAATGGCTCTCGACCAATCAGATTGCAAGAATGTTGTCAAATGTAAAATTTATTTAAATACCGGTACAAGTCAAGTGTTTGATTACACGCTATAAACTTGGTGATAGAATACAAAGTTATTGTGCCTAGGGATTCAAACTTTACAACAATTACTATTTTGTCTTGTAGATAACTGATGAACAAAGTGCAGGCTTTTTTATGGACAGTGGTTACTTTTAACCAACAAAACACAAGGTGCTTTTTAACACAACAATTATTATTCAGAACTGAATAAAAAACTCCAACAAGGATTTGAATGACAGTTGCTGTAAAAATATTGTTAATGATTATTAATAAGTATTGCTAATAATTTTTAGCCATTTCCTTTTTGACTGCATTAACAATTACAGMCCCATCCCCTTTATTGATCCCCATACCCTCCAGGATGCTAAAGCCCAAACTTGGGTGGCATAAGCTTGCCAACAATGGCCCATCTACCTCTGCCTCTACAAATTGAGGAATAAATRATGCRAGCTTATTAGCCTCTAGGAATTCAATACAATCTTTRCAAGTGTAAGAAATAAGGCTTTTTCTCTCATTGACTTCCTGAGGTTGATAAAACCATGAATCTTGAGGTAATGTGACYTTTGGTGTTGAGCACATCTGTGGACGTGGACTGAACATCATTGGACTCTGCATCTAGACGTGTGGATAAAATAAAAGAGATCTACAGTTTATATTTAAAAATTA